CCTTGTTTTCTGAGACAATGTGTGTCTTTGCCTGGGGTTTCAAATTCAGCTATACTGGCTGGACAGTGAGCTCCAGGAATCCTCCTGTTTCTACTTCTCAGTGCTAACTTTACCACAAGCATGTCCCACCCTGACAAGGGTGTGTGTGTGTGTGTGTGTGTGTGTGTGTGTGTGTGTGTGGTAGTGATGGAACTCAGGTGTGCAAACCAATGTTTACTAACAGGCCAACCTCCTAATCTCAATACTTTTAATTTTTAATGTATATCTTTACTTGTTGGTTTTTTTTTAATTAACATAGCCTATGTTTTTCTCTAACAATAACTTAAACAGGCTTTTGAGAGATGCTGTGTCATGACCTGTGTCAACAGTAGATGACTATCTCTGCTCTTTGGTGTTGGGTAAAGGGAATGTGAGTATCTCTGTGAACTGAATGTAAATGGATCAGAGGCCCAGACGCACCACAAAGAAGCTGCACATCCACCCAGTGAACCTACTGAAGTGTTTCTTTTGTGTCTGCTGGGAGGAAAACATCATTGATAGTGTTTAAAGCAGGGAGGGAAGGAAGGAATCCTAGTCTGTCTGACTCATAGGTCGTAAACCCAGATTCTACCTTCAAATGATCCCTCACTGACATCATCCTAAACAAAACAAGGCCAACTTTGGTAGCACTCCAAGAGAATAGCTTCATTGTTTTCCATTACCTGCCTGAAATGGGTTTTATAACTGGCTGTTGCTGGTTGTTCACAGGTCTGTCCATCATGTTACCCCTTTGGACATATAAGAATGAACATATCCTTGGCTTGGTCCACAGTCTATACAAAGATTTGATGGGGAGACAGAGTAGAGAGTTCAAATACTTATAAAGAATGGAGAAGGGTTGCTCATCAAAAGCTTGGAAATAAACTTTATATGTTCTCCAATGTTGAGTAGGGTTGATGACATTGATTCATGCCAGAGGCCTTCATCTGACTCCAGAGGTCTAACTTATTGCCCAGCTAATGCTGCAGCCTGTTCTCTCCACCACTATTAGAAGCTAACCTCCACCTCCTAGGAGGTAACAAACACTCTGGCATCCCTTTGTCCTGGTCTCAGCAATCCTTTCCACCATTGTGCACTCTGGATTTGCCACCCTTAATCTGGGTGCATTTATTAGGTTTTCTTGGGGATCAACCCAATTCCTGGCACTAGTGAGACCATGAGGATGCCAGGACAGAGTGGCCCAAGATGCTGAGTCCTGCTGAACCAAAACAATATTTTCCTGACTTAGGAACTTAGATTTCTTTTCAGACTGAGTTTCTAAATGTAGATCAAGCTGGTGGTGAATATATGATTCTCCCACCTCTGCTTTCTGAGTAGTGGGAAAATGGACATACACCATCATGCCTGGCTCATATTCACATATTTTATTGTCAGGTCACTTTATCCTTCATGTTACTTTGGTAGGTAGTTCAATGTTAATGCAGCAGTGTACATCCTGAGAAAGGAATGGTGTTAATGCCTTAGATAAAATGTAGTTTCTCCTAAGTCACCGTGGTAGATTTCAAACCATATGCTATCTTTTCCTTGGAAGAGCTCTGATCTGATAAGGAAATAATTATAAAAATAAGGCAGACCGACTGTCATAACTGTTGGAAGAAAGCTAATAACTTTTCATGGTGTACCTTCATCTAAAGTCCTCTGCATTGCAGTGGGATTAAAGATTTACTGTCCAATTAGACTGGGGCCTTCTATAAATCAGATCATTCCCAAAGTTGAGGGAGTAAGTAGAGCTAGTTGGAAGTTGGATATGATCAAAGAGGCATACAACAGTAAACTTGAAAATGAAGAGTTGGAGAGGGAGAGATACCCATGTTTGAAGGTCATCCTTGCTATAGGGTCATATTTCTCTCTGATGTAATTGGAGTCTAGCTTGCACAGGACCTGAGCTAATGTTCACAGATGCTGTTCTTTACAATGTTCCCTTACTTGCCCTTTGACAAAGGTTGGTATTAACAGAATTAAAATATTGCTTTGTCTCTTAAAGTTAAGTTCCTTTTCCTTGGGTTATTCCCAGGTGGTTCATTCCCGCTACAAACATCAAAAAAGTGACTGCTTATGGTAAACTTCCTTACAGGTAACCAAGAGGGAACAAAACCAAATAAAACACATGTATGTCATGCTTCTCTCCAACACTGCTGCCTGCCTGGGATTTAGATTTTATTTTGGACCCTCAAGCCAACAGCATGTTGTGACTTAAACAGGTCCCTCTGTGGGCATTTATCATTATCTCGGCATTATGGACAGTGTTTCCCCCACTCTTTACTTTTCAGTTAGCTCTTCTTCTCAAGAGTATCCTTTTGGCCTAGCATTCCCACCATTCCTTCTTAAAACTTCGCTGTCTACTCAGCATTGCCTACTATGCACTTGCTCTCAGGTCCTTAAAAAACACAATCCGGTAATAACAACATATTGTATTCTTCCCAAGGCAATTAGTATTTAAATTGCATTTAAATAGCACTCAAGGGCATCAAACTGAAAGCAGTATTCTCAGAAGGTTGAAGTTTGGTATTATATGAGAGATGCATGAGAATAGGGGAGAGTGGGGACAGATATTGAGATACTATAGGTCTTTCTAAGCTGGAAGAGACCCTCTTCTAAGAGAGATTTTTTAATAAAAATGTTTTAGTTCTTGAAATTAATATAATTAGATAATTGTCTCCCTTCTCTTTCCTCCCTCTAGCTTTTCCCATGTACATCCCCATCTCTCTCAAACTGGCCTCTTTTGCTATACATATATACAGATGCATAGACTCCTAAAGATGTAAACACAACCTCACAACCTGCTCAGCCCATACAACATCACCTGCATGTATATGATCTCATAGCTGACTGCTTGGTATTAGATAACCAATTAGGGTTCTCTTTCCTGGGGAAGATCATCCCTGCCCCCTCTAACATGGAAGGGGAAGTGCAAGCGTTCTTGAAGAAAGAGTTTTGTCAGTGTCAGTGAATGAGAGTCAACCTGCTCTCATCCGCTCATGATAATGCCTTTATTTTATTTATAAGAACTATGTATGATTATGTGGGTTTCTTATAACTCTTATAAGCCAGTTGATTGGGCCTGATCCCCCCAGTTTGCACAGGCAGTGGGACTTTCTGAGGTCAAGGACATACCTCTAGTTTCACACCGCTAATACCTGTTGGGATTGACAAGTCCTCAGCTTTTATTCCATCTCCTGCTGCCCTGAAATGCTTCATCAACACTGACTTTATTTCTCCAGGATTATTTCCCACTTTTTCTTTTCCATCTTTCCATTAGCGAAAACAGACTTGCAGCATCTTAAGTATAACTTTACTTAGAGTCAAGTACAAGAAGCTGTCCTTAGGTGACCTCATGTGCTATCAGACAGCAAGTTCTATGCCCCATTGTCATTCATCAAAGTTGTTAGTGGACTCCCTGTGGTCATCCAGTCCATTGTTTACTTTCTCAAAAACAATGTCCTTTAAAAATACTAAGAAACAATATTTTCCCACATAGGAAAAAATACTCTTAATTTACTCTATAACTGATTTTTGGATGTTACAAATTAGAGTCTAAATTTTTTCATTATTATCATTAATGTAGAGTATGGCTTATGATTATTAAGCAGTGACTTAAAAAATATTGGCCCTAAATACCAGTTTGACTTGGTTGTCATACTCCATAAGTTGAATCATTCACATCTGAATAGAGAAATCCACAAAGCCAAAGTCTATCCTGGTAACATAATTGATAATTTTACAGAGGTAAATAAATTTAGTTCCACAGACAATTAGATGAATAAAAAAAACCACTAGATTTGGAAATTTAGAAACTCTATCAATGCTTTAACATCAAATAAAACTTTCAACATTAGCTGCATAAAGAATCTGCCTTGCTTCCACAAAAGGTCAGCCCTGGCAATTTGCTCTGAAGATTACATTATCTATGCCATGCTTTTTGGAGACAACTATGAAAAGCAGTATAGCATTCCTGGCATTTGTATCCAGTCTTTGCAAAAACAGATTCTCTCTACTTCTCTCAGGCCACCATTCACAATCCACTGATACATGACTTCAAATGTCCCACAGAGGAGGACACACAGCTTAACCAGTGAAACCTTCCATGTGATCAATAATTTACATCTTAGGCATAAATTAAGTACCATGTAACATTTAGGGTAAATAATCGTGTGAGTTTAAATACAGGGCACACCATGGAAGTCCCCCGTTATCTATTTCTGCTAACATAACTGATGGGACAAGAGACAAAAGACACTCTTTGAAATAAATGCTCCGTGAAGCAATCCCATGCCTCACCTAATGCATGTTTCTCAGGGGTCTTTTGTTACTCCGGAGCGTGTTGAATTATCCTTCCAATTACCTTGGCAACTAAAACAAGGACCCCTCATATGCTGATGACTTTTAGATGATTGCACTAGCTGCCAGAAACAGATGATAATTAAAGAATTTTAATTATTAAGCAGGATTGAGAAGTGTTGATTTTGTTTTTTTTTTTTTCAATAAACCTTATATCTTAATCACAGAGGAATCCAATTACTAGCCGAATTCTTTCCCTATGTTTGATCAGCAGTTTGGAGCTTTTGTCTCTAAGGCTGGTAGATAATTACAGAAATTGCAACAACCTTGAAGACACATCGCCCCCATCTTTCTCCCCCATCCTTTCCCTCCTGTGTTCTTAGTTATGAATGTAACAGAATGTGATGACTGAAAGCAGCATTATTAACCAGCTTACCTTGAGAACAATAGCAACATTAACAAAGGGGTTGTACTAATAAAGGGTCTGTGCGCTGTCCGCTTAAGCAATGGAAAGTGTCCCTTTATTCTGCCTAGCACTGGCTCAGCCAGAGGTTAACCATTTTAAAGCCGGCATTAGCCGGAGAAGGAACAAAGCATTACTAGAAAGCAGAAAGCCTCCCCAGCACCAGCCTTCCTGCTTCTTTCTTAAAAATCATTGGGGCTCAATGTAAAAGAACCAATACCTTCAAGTGAGAACATTCCAGCACAGGAGCGTTGTCTTGGTGGCTGCTGTGCAGAATGAGTTGCTTGGGCATCTATCCCTCTCTTCTTAGACACGGGGCAGTTCGGTGGCTACAGCCAACATAAGAAGCCCTTTTGCAACATATATGCGCTCTTCATCTGCAACTGAAGGAGACTAAGCAGCTGGGCTTGGTGCTGCTCGCCTGCAGGCATTGGATCTTTAGACCCTCTTCATCTGATTGGCTGCTTCCTAGTCTCACGGCACTCCTCTGCCTTAACCTTTGGCTATGCTCAATATATTTCCCCTAGGGATAAAGTCAGAGAATTGCCCATTAGGGAATCTGTGCCAGGTTAAATTGAGCTGGTTTAAAGAACCAGTGACACAATTCTCTATGGTTGTGTTTATGCTTAATTGTCCGGTGTTCTAGGTAATATACCTACCGAGGTGAGGTGGATATAATTTAACAGGAGTGGTTTTATGTTTCCTCCCTGAAAATGCCATGAGTCTTACACCTGCATAACACACACTGAGGTGATCAGGTGGCTCTTTGCAGCACAGCTTGTCTGGATATCAACCTTAAATCCAAACAGATGGAGATGACAGAAAATATCAAGAAGATTGTTTAAAAAATGCCAAGAGATGCAGTTGGACAACTCTACAGAAGCCATCTCAAGAAAGTGTTGTGAGTCATTTACACAAAAGGTCTTTATAATATTTATGATTTATTTTACACAAGACTGATAAAAACATGAAAATGAATGACAAGAACTAAAGCAGTTATTAAAGTACATAGAGAAAACATAACAGAAAAAAATATTTGCTTCATTAAAGTACTAAAACTGAGAAAAGAACCAAAAAGTAAACCCTTATCAGCTATGTA